TTTTTTCCTTTGTATGGGTGACAACATCCCTTTGGCCATGTGATTCCGTGTAAAGAAAAGGCCTTTTTTTTGATTATCCACATAAAGTGGTTTTCGACGTCGTCTGCACAATCTCTTCTGTTTAACTCACTAAGACGATGTGAGGCAGCTGAGTCCAGCGAAGGTTGTCTGAGTTCACTGCGCCAGCGAAGAACAAGATTTGTTCAGACAGCGCGATCACGCAGCACCCCAGAGAGGACTCCTCTTCTTACCTTGTATTTATTTCTATGCAGGACATAGTAAGAGATTGCAGATTCCCACAATGCTATCCAGAGAGTCCTCATAGTGGGTTAGAATTGTGTTTCTCACCCGTTTTCCTTTGTGGCACCCTTTAAAAGCGTGAAAAATCTCAATGCCCCCCAGTCTGAAATATAAACAACTTAAATGTTACTTATCAATGGAAACCTGAGCCTGGGATGATGTACACAACCACCTTAATGAAATTAGCTTCCAATCAGAGTCCCCCCATCACATCAGGGGTTCCCCCATCACTTCAGAGGTCCTCCCATCACATTAGATGTCCTCCATCACACCTGAGGTCCGCCATCACACCAGAGGTCCCCCATCACATCAGAGGTTCCCCCATCACATCAGAGGTTCCCCCATCACATCAGAGGTTCCCCATCACATCAGAAGTTCCCCAGCACATCAGAGGTCCCTCCAACACACCTGAGGTCTGCCATCACATCAGAGGTCCCCCATCACATCAGAGGTTCCCCCATCACATCAGAGGTCCCCCCATCACATCAGAGGTCCCCCATCACATCAGAGGTTCTCCAAATCACATCAGAGGTTCCCCATCACATCAGAGATTCCCCAGCACATCAGAGGTCCCTCCATCACACCTGAGGTCCGCCATCACATCAGAGGTCCCCCATCACATCAGAGGTTCCCCCATCACATCAGAGGTTCCCCAGCTCGTCAGAGATCCCTCCCATCACATCAGAGGTTCCTCCATCACATCAGAGGTCTCCCGTCACATCAGAGGTCCTCCCATCACATCAGAGGTCCCCTGTCACATCAGAGGGCCCCATCATATCAGAGGTCCTCCATCATATCAGAGGTCTGCCATTACATAAGAGGGCCCCCATCACATCAGAGGTTCTCCCATCACATCAGAGGTTCCTCCATCACATTAGATGTCCTCCATCACACCTGAGGTCCACCATCACATCAGAGATCCCCCATCACATCAGAGGTCCCCCATCACATCAGAGGTTCCCCCATCACATCAGAGGTCCCCCATCACATCAGAGGTTCCCCCATCACATCAGAGGTTCCCCAGCACATCAGAGGTCCCTCCCATCACATCAGAGGTTCCTCCATCACATCAGAGGTCCTCCCATCACATCAGAGGTCCCCCGTCACATCAGAGGGCCCCATCATATCAGAGGTCCTCCATCATATCAGAGGTCTGCCGTTACATAAGAGGGCCCCCATCACATCAGAGGTTCTCCCATAACATCAGAGGTTCCCCCATCACATCAGAGCCCCCCCATCACATCAGAGCCCCCCCATAGCATCAAAGTTCCCCTATTACATCAGAGGTCCTCTGTCATATCAGAGGTCCCCCATCACTGCAAAGGTTCTCCCATCACATCAGAGGTTCCCCATCACATCAGAGGTCCCCCATTACATCAGAAGTTCTCTCATCATACCAGAGGTACTCCTATCACATCAGAGGTCCCCCATCACTGCAAAGGTTCTCCCATCCCATCAGAGGTACTCCCATCACATCGGAGGTTCCCCATCACATCAGAGGTCCCTCATCACATCAGAGGTCCCCTATCACATCAGATGTTCCCCAGCACATCAGAGCCTCCCCATCATATCGCCCCCCAATCACACAGTCCCCCCATCACAAAGCCAACCCATTTACATTATGGCAATGCGTTTCACCCACAACAGGCCCAGGGAAAGGGTCAGTAGGGGGAGAAATGTGTTACGCTTCCTAAAGCTGCTCGAACTTGAGGAATACTTCACATATTTAAAATATATGTACTTACCCCTAAGTTCCCAAATGGAAAAAATTACATTTATATATTTACACACACACATATATATATATATTTTTTTTTCTCCAAAGAATAAGGAATATATACAATACATACAACCGTGGGATGTGAAGACCGTATTTAAATCTTAAAATCAATGCGCCACACCAAAGTAAGGTTTTAATTCAAACATATACGAGGTGCAACACCCAACGCGTTTCACGGGGTACACATTGCGCCCTTCAATAGGGGTTCAGGAACTGTGAGGTCTACTTATATGGACATAGACCGTGAACATTACCAGCTGCTGAACATTACCAAAGCTCATTCTGAAATCCTATCCAAATTATAAATCAGTCAAATAAAGGTAAATCTCATAGTTCCTTAAGGTCTGGTGAAGGGGGCGATGTGTTGCCCCCCGAAACACGTTGGATGCGGCACCCCATATATGTTTGGAATAAAACCTCACTTTGGACTTCGGTGGTTCAGTGGTTCGGTGGTGGCGGTGAGCTTTAAAGCTGAGCTGCCACATACTGTACATCTGTACAGTCAACATCCCTTCTGTGCCGGAAGTGAACTCACTCGGCACCCCCAGCATGCTGACCCCACTCTAACCAACTGCTCCTGGTCACTGTTTATGAGTGGGAGCCAGTGAGGCAGGCTCCTGACCAAATGATAGCATGTGGCAGCCAATCACAGGGGTCACATGACTGGGAAGCCCATATATTTTTCAAGGGCTGGCTCCTGTTAGTTGGAAGGGTTTTTTTTTTACAGCCAACAGATACCATGTTTCCTTTTACGCTACCTCCACCCCAGTGGTGTATTTAAGTTTTGTGCTGCCCTAGGCAACACAAAAGTCATCTGCCTCCACGGACACCGACCAACACCCCCCCTTCCCCCTTCACAGAGAGAGACTGGCATTGACCAACAACACCCCTGCCCCCCCACCTGTGGGAGCCTTCCATTATCCGCCCCCACAGCAATAAAGAGAAAGACACTCATCTTCACAGCTCCGGACATCCCCGGGAACGAGAGTCAGGCTCTTCATACACCATCAAGCAGCCCGCAGCCTCTCTCAGATCCCACCTGGTTCCCATGATGCGCATGTCCCTTCTTCCATCCCTTCTTCTGGGGGGAGGTGCAGCCCCCCTGAAAAATGCCACCCTAGGCAAGTGCCTTGTTTGCCTTGTGGTAAATACACCCCTGCTCCACCCATCACCATTATCTATCGCTAGTTTTTCAGAACTTTGACTTGAGGTTCCTTTTAACAATCCATGGTATTACATTGCATTTTAAAATGCACGAGAGGAAGGAACCACAAACTCCGTACGTAGACTGCGGAACAGAATGTCTGAACTTCACGGATGCATCAGATGTTTAATAACGGGGATTGTGTTTTGTCCGCCGCACATATTCCAGAGCAGATGCGGTCTGATGGTGCGGATAAACTTCTATGAACTGAGACCAGAGCGGGGGGTCACTGAGGAGGAACGACACCCTCTCCGATGGAAATCTAGACAGTTCACCTGGTTCTATAAAAGGCTTTAATCCACTCTGCCGTCACAGGCTGCGATGGAGTGGTCCTATAGACCATAAAAAACCCGCTGACCCATGAGGCTCAGAAGGTGCCAGAGGCAAGGCGCTCTCTCCCGTCTGTTGCATCAGGATGGCAGAGAATTCTATCAGCTTCACAATGGACTTGCTGTGCCAAAAATAAAATTCCACATGTCCCAGGGACTTAAAGGGGACATCGTATTCTTGCTGACAGATTTTGCATTTTGCTTTTTTTTTGGGGTGTAATTTAAACACTCTGCATCTGCAGCAATTTTCAGAATGTTCACACACATGGTTAAATCTGCATTTTCTGCTAGAAAAATACATAGAACCCCCAAACAATTGAAATATTTTCTGAAAGCCGAGGCCTTGGAAAATAAAATGGTGGTTGCTGGAATTTTTTTTGTCTCACAATATTTGAGCAGCCCTTTATTTAGTGCAAGTTTTCAGGATGAAATACACTAAAATTAATTTTAGTGCAGAGAAATACAACAATATCGCCAGTTTTTGGGTAAAATATAAAAGGTGGCGTTGTGTTGAAAGACCCGGGCAAAAATACAACAATATATAGAAGAGCTCTTTCTCCCATCCCTGCACTGCACACAGCCTGGGCACAGGCAGCGGAGCTCCTCCTGCCTACACAGATAGCTTTTGGGGGGGGTCACAACTAAAGTCGGGGGCATAGCCCTCCCCAACACCACCCTAGATCCAGCCATGGGCTCCCATGAGGAATAGGAGAGCCTAGCAGTCAGAACATTGATTGCAGCTAATCAAGTACAAATTGTGCTTGATTAGCAGCTCCCCAATAGCCAGGGAATTACAGTTCTGAAACTGGAAGTGATTCTTGTCTCTTTTGGGTTCATTAGTGACAGAGGAGATTGGGAAGTGAAAGTCCCTCAAGTGCATGCTCCCTCAGGGCATGAAGTTTGGAGCATAGTCTTCCAAGTGAATGGCTGTACGGGGGGGATGGGGGGCATGTCAGCACAAATCTGATAATTGGAGGAGAAGCAGGCTGAGTTTGCAGCACAGCTAGAGAACTGACCACGCTGTCTTCTCCTGCCTAGTGTGGTCTTTTTTTTATTATGTCCTTTTTTTCCCACGAATTGAGCTTCCTTTTGGTGGTATTTGACCACCTCTACGTTTTTTATTTTTTGTGCCATAAACTTAAAAAGGCCAATAATCTTTTAAAAAAAAAACAAGCAATATTTTGACTTTTTGCTATAAAACATGTCCAGTAAAAAAAATGTTCAAAATCAAATTTCGGCATGAATTTAGGCCAAAATGTATTCTGCTCCGTGTCTTTGCGAAAAAATCCCAATCCGTGTAAATTAATTGGTTTACGTGACAGTTATAGCGTTTACAAATGGGATAGATACTGGGATTTTTGTTGTTTTATACTGGTAATGGCGACGATCAGCGACTTATAGCGGGACTGCGGCGGGCATTCTGACACTGGGGGGGGGGGGGGGACTGACTTGGTATCACTGACATGCCCCAGTGACACTAATACAGTGATCAGTGCTAATAAAAAGCACTGACACTGTACTAATGGCACTGGGCAGGAAGGGGTTAACATGAGGGGCGATCAAAGGGTTAACTGTGTGCTGTGTGTGTGTTTTACTGTGTAAGCATGCTGCTTTGTATGGCTCTGCTAACAGGTGAGAAATCTGTATTGATTACATACAGACCTCTCCTCTGTCAGTGTTCCTTGGCGATCGCCAGGTGCCGGTGGGGAATCTCCGGCTGGGACCCAGTAATCTAGAGCTGTAGCAATCAATGGAGGCGTGGGTAGGGCGGCATGCGCGCCCCCTATCTGGAAATATGAAATCAAAGGGTTAACTGTGTGCTGTGCATGTGTTTCACTGTACGCATACTGTACGCATGCTGCTATGCAGAGCCATACAAAGCAGTGTGCTGGAGCTGAGAGGGGAGAGATCTATATTGTTTACATACAGACCTCTCCTCTGTCAGTGTTCCTTGGTGATCGCTGGGTGCCAGCAGGGAATCTCCGGCAGGGACCCAGTGATCTAGATCTGTAGCCACCAATGGCAGAGCGGGTAGGGCGGCACACACGCCCACTACCCGGAAATATGAAATCAAAGGGTTAACTGTGTGCTGTGTCTGTGTTTCACTGTATGCATGCTGTGCGCATGCTGTACGCATGCTGCTATGCAGAGGCGTGGGTAGGGCGGCATGCGCGCCCCCTATCCAGAAATCTGAAATCAAAGGGTTAACTGTGTGCTGTGCATGTGTTTCACTGTACGCATACTGTACGCATGCTGCTATGCAGAGCCATACAAAGCAGTGTGCTGGAGCTGAGAGGGGAGAGATCTATATTGTTTACATACAGACCTCTCCTCTGTCAGTGTTCCTTGGTGATCGCTGGGTGCCAGTAGGGAATCTCCGGCAGGGACCCAGTGATCTAGAGCTGTAGCCACCAATGGCAGAGCGGGTAGGGCGGCACACTCGCCCACTATCCGGAAATACGAAATCAAAGGGTTAACTGTGTGCTGTGTTTGTGTTTTCACTGTAAGCATGCTGCTATGCAGAGCCATACAAAGCAGTGTGCAGCAGCTGACAGGGGAGAAATCTGTATTGTTTACATACAGACCTCTGCTCTGTCAGTGTTCCTTGGCGGTCGCCGGGTGCCGGCGGGGAATCTCCTGGGACCCAGTGATCTAGAGCTGTAGCTACCAATGGCGGCATGGATAGGGCGGCACGCGCACCCCCAACCCAGAGATACGAAATCACATATATATACGTGATTTTGTGCAGCCCTGCCGCCCTGTAGCAGTACTTCTTCTATAGGGCGGACGTGAAGCGGTTAAAAAGAATTGCCACATACGGATGTTTGTTTAATGGCATCTGACCCTGGTTCCTGGTTGAGGGCCAAATACACTTCAATATTATCGAATCGAACGCCAGGTAATAAATGAGTTTGGGAATACTTTGGAGTGAGATTCGGGGCATTGTCAGGTATAATATGAAAAAAATCTAAAAAAAAAACAAGACAAGAAACATTTAAGAAAATAAAATCAAGTCCCCAGTGTATCCTTCCCCGAGTATTGGATGAAAACTTGGCGTCAAATCCCGGGTGATCTTATTCTGCTTGAACAGAGCGCTGTAAATGGAGCTTTTAGCTGTTTTCTAAATCACAAGTTCAAAGGAACGAAAGCATTGCCAGGATCGATTAGGCTTTACTAGGCTGTAAATGGAGGACATGGATGGACACAAATGGAAATGGAACTTGTAACAGTAAAAACAATATATGGGAAATGTCCTTGGGTAGTCGCCTTGGAACCAATCATCTACGAAACGTAACTCATGAAATGGAGTTTGTTCCCCTTCATACCCTTCCTGCTCTGCAATTATAAATGGTTTTTGTTTTTTTGTATTTATATTTTTTATGTTTGATTATTTCTCATCTGCCTCCAACCCTTCTGCCACCAATTTGGCCTGTTGAGTAAAGTGGAAAGATAGCACTGGACCCGTAGGGTTACCTTACTGATATGACTATCTTAAGGTTGGTGTCAATGATCTGGTTCCTGGGCAGGCGGCTACTACACCCCCGATGATCTCCTGTCAAGCCCTTGTAGACCGCCAACTCAGGGTTCCCTAGGGTGCGGAGTCTAAGTCCCAGCCTGCTTCTTCACCAGAGCCCCTGATGGTGGGGATGGACTTGCAGCAAGCTAGAACCAGGTTGCGGCCCCCAGATACGCCCAGCTTAGGATGTGGAGACCACTCGCGTTAGCAGAGTGTAATGGCAGGAGCCAGCAGGGAAGCTGGTAGTGCTGGACCCATAGGGTTACCTTACTGATATGTTTATTTTAAGGTCTTGATGTTGGTGTCAATGATCTGGGCAGGCGGCTTCTACACCCCAGAGATCCAGATACAACTTTATTTTCAAGTAATTTTTATTAGGAGTTTTAAGGTTTCTGAACAAAACATGTTATATCATTATATAGAAACATTCAAATACAAGGTTCACATAAATGAAACAACATATAGAATGAAAAGACGAGGTAATAAACCCCCACCAACTGGCTGGGAGTTCAAATTATCATAATCATACTTACAAGAGAGGTATTCTCATTGGATTGTGAACCTTATCAGTAAATATGAAAACATAAAGGAGCTAAACAGGGGATGAAAAGGGGTATAGGAAAGTGTGAGGGGGGGGGGGAGATGAGGGCACCAATGAACTACAAATGTAGCATCTTATAAGGTTTAGGGCGGGTGTCGGCAACCCGCGGCTCCAGAGCCGCATGCGGCTCTTTTTCATCTTTGCTGCGGCTCCGGAGCACACTGCCCACCAGGTGACAGGCAATAGGGTTTCAGTGGTCGGCAAGCCGCGGATCGCAAGCCACATGCGGCTCTTCTGTGTGTCGGGCTCCCCTCCCTCCTCTCGGGCGGCCGCCTCAAAAGTCAGGACTCTTTTAATCCGGCCCGCGGAGCGTGGAACATTAGCTGCCAGGATGTAGGCGGGGCAGCGTGACGAACTCCTCTCACAGTCCGCCCTGAAGACCGGAACACAGCGCGGGAACACAGCGAATGGAACGCGCGGAGCAAAGGTAAGTGAATTGAGACAATATGGGGAATTAATTACTATAGGGGGGATGAATTACTATGGGGGATGAATTATTATATGGAGGATTAATTACTATGGGGGATGAATTACTATGGAGGATGAATTACTATAGGGGGGATGAATTACTATGGGGGATGAATTACTATATGGGGGATGAATTACTATGGGGGATGAATTACTATATGGGGGATGAATTACTATATGGAGGATGAATTACTATATGGGGGATGAATTACTATGGGAGATGAATTACTATGGAGGATGAATTACTATATGGGGGATGAATTACTATATGGAGGATGAATTACTATATGGGGATGAATTACTATGGGAGATGAATTACTATGGAGGATGAATTACTATAGGGGGGATGAATTACTATAGGGGGGATGAATTACTATGGGGGATGAATTACTATATGGGGGATGAATTACTATGGGGGATGTATTACAATATGGGGGTTGAATTACTATGGGGGATGAAGTACTATATGGGGGATGAATTACTATATGGGGGATGAATTACTATAGGGGGGATGAATTACTATGGGGGATGAATTACTATATGGGGGATGAATTACTATATGGGGGATGAATTACTATGGGGGATGAATTACTATATGGGGGATGAAGCTAACTGCACGATCCTGTATATAGCATTAAGGTAAGAAACAATATATGCAGTGTCGGATTTGTTTTAAATGTTGCAATGGTTTTGCGGCTCCCAGTCTTTTTTTTCCCTTCAGAAACGGGTCCAAGTGGCTCTTTATGTCTTAAAAGTTGCAGACCCCTGGTTTAGGGTTTGTAATCAGACAATAGAACATTTGGGATGTTTTAGCCATCGAGACCAGTGTAATGTGAATTTGTGGTAGGAGGAATTTCGGAGGGCCGTTCTTCGCTCCATCTCACATTGCAAGTTGAGATCAGCTAGTAGGCGGGCTAATAGGGGGGGTGAGGTAGAACGCCATAGTCTCGTAATGTTAGTCTTTGCAGCTGCCAGGATGTGTATGATAATGATGCGTGAGCAAACGGGAAATTGATCTATCGTTAGATGAAGAAGGGCTAGCCCTGGATTAGGGGGCGTTGGGGAATCTGTAACTGAAGAGATTAATTGGAACACTTTATTCCAAAAGGACTTGAGGGATTTGCATGACCATAGTAAGTGGAAGAGCGAACCAGTGTCACCACAACGCCTCCAGCAATTTTGCGATTGCTGTGGGTAATAGATGGATAATTTGGCAGGGGTTAAGTAGCATTGGTGGAGAGTTTTCAAATAAGATTCCCAGTGGGAGCTACATTTCAAGGCTTTGTATGTGATGGAGAACGTCACTTGCCATGTTTGCGGGGTTGTTGGGAGAAGGAGATTTGTCTCCCAATTGGTAAGGGATGATGTATGAGTTATAAATTGTGCTTCAGTAAGTAATGTATAAAAGGTAGAGATTCCTTTCTTTGGATAAAAAGTTTTGTGGTAGAAATGGTACGCAGTAGCAGGGATGTCTAATTCAAGTGGAATATGCGTGTTATGGAGCAAATGGGATATTCGCATATAAGTGAATTGTTCCGTATCGGGAAGATGGAATCTTTCTTGAAGGGTCTGAAACGACTCGGGTTTATGATTGTTGTGAATATCTTGGATATAGCGTATACCCAACGTCTTCCAAGATGTTAGGTTCAAGTGGGGGGATAAGAAGTAAAGGGAGGAAATAGGGGTCGGGATTCGTAAATTAGTCTTATGTGAATGAGTGTAAGTCAGGAAGTCATGCCAAGCTGTCAGAGAGGCTTGGATGCATGGGTGAGCGTGTGAAGGTCTAATCTGTGTCGAACGAGGTGTAAATAATAAGTCTGTTAAGGTATTTGGCGAATACATAGCGGTTTCCATAATAGTCCATGTTTTGTCTTGGGTCGGGTGCCACCAGTAGTATAGCTGGTCCAATATGGCTGCCTGATAATAGGATTTCAAATGTGGGAGGCCGGCTCCGCCTCTGGAGGGCGGGCGTATCAGAAGGTTTGTAGAGCATCTAGGCCGTTTAGAATTCCATAAGAATTTATTTAAGATTTTTTGAATTGTAGAGAAGAACGAGGAGGGTATAGGAACAGGCAATGTACGAAATATATATAAAAATTTTAGGCTATATACACATTTTAATAGTAGCTATTCTGCCCAGCATTGATAGCGTGGTTGTACGTAGGTTCTTAAGCTCCTGTGGGATTGTGTCAAGAAGTGGCTGAAAATTAGCTACATAGAGTTGATTGGTTTTGGGAGTAAGTTTAATCCCCAGGTATGGGATATTATGTTTTTCCCATTTGAAAGGGAATTGTTTTGTAAGGAGGTTTTGGGGTCCGAGCAGGGGTATGAAGGTTTAAAATTAAAGATTTGGGTTCGTTGAGCTTATAATAAGATACATCTGCATAGTTTTGTATGTGCGTACGTATTGAAGTGAGTGATTTGTAGGGGTTTGTAATCATTAGAATAATGTCATCTGCAAAAAGGCTGATTTTGTGTTCGTGCTGGAGAAATTTAATTCCCGAGAAATTGGGGTCATTTCTAAGGTTGGATGCCAGTGGTTCAATGAGTAAAGCGAAGATTATGGGGGAAAGAGGGCAGCCTTGTCTAGTACCGTTAGATATTTGAAATGGCTGCGAGAGCGTACCGTTAGTGAGGACTCTAGCTGAGGGTTTAGAGTAGAGGGATAAAATCGCGGACAGCATCCAGTCCGTAATTCCCAGTTTTTGTAAAGTAAGTGTCATGAATTGCCAGTGAATGCGGTCAAATGCTTTTTCTGCGTCAAGAGATAGGAGAAGTGAAGGTTGTTTGTTCGATTCAAGGTGGTGTATCAATGATATAAGTCGTCGAGTTGTGTCAGGGGCTTGCCTACCTGGTACGAATCCCACTTGATCAGAATTGATCAACGTGGGAAGGTACGGGAGGAGTCGTTGAGCTATTATCTTGGCATAGATTTTTAGGTCCGTGTTTAGTAGTGAAATTGGTCTATAGTTCTGGACTAATTGGGGGTCTTTACCCGTTTTGGGATGGTAGAGATTATTGACTGCAGCATGTCAG